TTAAGAAATGTTGAGCGAGTTTGGCCCTTTTGATTTTCTGACTCCAGCTCCTTACACATTTCATTGTAATATTTTGCTTTGCCATCCCTACTACACAGTAGTAATAACAAAGCCAACATGGTACTGGTACAATGACAGGCACACAGATCAGTAGACTAGAACTGAGAATCCAGAAATAGACCCAGCTGTCTATGACTAACTGATATTCGACAAGCAAGTAAAACCTATCACATGGGGAAATGACCACTTGTTCAAAAAGTCGTGAACCCAAACTGGACTACTACCAGCCTAAAGCTGAAACATAACATTAAAAAAAATAATCTCAAGGTAAATAAGAGACTTGGTAGTAAAGCCCAAAACCATAAAGTTCATAAGAAACAAACTGGGATCAAGTTTAGAAGCCCTAGTCTACGGTATAAAGGTACTGCCAAATACAGCCAGAAATGTATAATATGAAGAGGTTAAAAGTGATGACCTTCTTAACATTAAATCTCTGTGTTCATCAAAAACTTTTTCCAACGGGGTGAAAAGAAAACCTACTGACTGAGAACAAACATGTGGCAATATCATATCCGACAAGAGTCTCATAATGAAAGTTTCTAGAATATCCCTGGGCCTCCACAAGAATAAGTCTGATAATCCAATAACAAAATGGGCAAAAGACATGGAAAGAATTTTCACAGAGGAAATTATTCAAATGGCCAACAGACATATGAATAAATGCTAAAATCACTGGCAATAAAAGAGATGCAAATCCAAAGCACAATGAGGTACCATCTCACTCCAGTAACAATGACAAAGTTTAACAGGAAAGCAAGTAGTAAATGTTGGAGAGGATGTGATGAAATAGGAACTCTTTTATGTTGTTGTTGTGATTGCAAAATGGTACAACCACTTTGGAATGCAGTTTGTCACTTCCTCAAAAAGCTGAACATAGTAATTGCATATGACCCAGCTACTCCATTGCTTGGAATATAACCCAAGAAAATGAGAACTGAAGCTCAAATGGTAACTTGTACACCAATATTCATAGCAACATTATTCACCATCTCATGAACATGGAAATAGTCCAGATGTCCAACCCCAATGAATAGATTCAGAACTTCTGGTTCATTCATACAATGAAATAAAATACAGCACACAGGAGCAATCATTTTGTAAATTTCTACCTAACTTGGGAGTTACTGCAGAGCATTATGCTGAGTGAATTAACTCAGTACCATAAGGACAAATACTGCATAAAACCATTATTGTAGAATGAGTATGAGGATCTAAGGTGAGGTGTGGGGAGTGTAGACATAGAGGGGTGAGGATGGATAAGTGGGTAGGGTGTTAATCATAGGGTTGCACAATTTGATGGGTAGGTGGGGTGAAGGAAATGGGAAGGATCTTTTTGTGAAAAAAAGTGTATCCAAATTTTGTATATAAATCAGAGTAAATTTTTTTTAGAAAAATATTATCCAACAATATAATTTGTATCCCATGCAAGCAAGATTCTGCTGAAGATCCTCCAAAAATGACTGAAACACCACCACAACAGATAACTGCCTGAAGTGCAGGCTCAATGTAGAAGAGGTTGTGGCGCCAGGGATATTATAGCTAATGTCAGATGGGTATTGGTTGAAGGCAGAGAGTACCAGAGGAATATCTATCTGTGTTTCGTTGACTATGCAAAGACATTTG